TGGTAAAAACCAAAGAATTAATTGCAATGATTTTTCAAGCGAAAAATAATCTTTGTACATTATCTTAGTCAGCTTAAAATTCCAATCTTAATTCAATTAAGAATCTTTAGGCTGAAGTCAAGAAAAGTATCTGAGCTTATAAAAAACCTCTATCTAATCTTGTTGATCTTGACTGATATGTTAAAAAGACATGGTAGGAAATTTTGAAGCATACTATCGAAAACCTAGTCGATAATATGTCATAACAAATTTAAATAGTGATTGCGACAAATGGTGGTCTAACTAAGTACTAGTTACTTAGTATAAAATGTAGATATTAATCAGCTTTAAATAAAAAATTAATTGACTTTTATTGTTATTGTAAAAATATTTTAAGTTTTATATTGAGTGAAAAAGTATGCAGATACTTTTGTTCACTCTTTGTATTAGATATGTTAAACATATTAGATATATTAAACATGTTTGACATATTTAACATTTTAATTTGCATTTTCTTGTATTACATAAATTAAATAAATCTATTAAGTCGATTATGTTAACTATGTTACTTACATAACTACTTACAATACATTAATTAAGTTATGATAGTTCTGTTACAGTATCTTAAAATTATTTTAAAAGGCTATTATATTTTAAAACTTACTGAATAGGTAAAATCAAATACAATCTTTTGATTTAGATTTAATTAAAAATTTATTAAGTATTTTAGAATATTTATTATAAAATAAATATAAATTAGCTTTAATTTGAATGTATTATTATTTTATAATTTAATTAAAATAAAGAAAATTTAAAAAAAAATATTATTAAAAAAAAATTGAAAATAGCAAAATTGATTAGCAAAATAATTAGCAAAATAATTTATATTATAAAATATCTATTATAACATTTAATAAAAAAATTATTGTAAAAAGTATTTATTAAAGTTTTAAATATTAAATTTCATCTGCCTAAATCTTTAAAGTTAGTTTAGCAAATCTTACTATTCTAAAATAAGTCATTATTTAAATTTAAATTTGGATTTTAAAAAATATTTCAATCTTTAATATTTTATTTTAAATTAATTTTTTTTATAAAATAAATTTAAAATCTTTTTTTAAATTCAAAATATTTTTAGAATAAATTATAATTTATTAAATATGATAGTCTTAAATGATATTTTTTAATAAATTAGAAAAAAATTAAATATAATATATTTCTTAAATAGAATTGTATATGAAATATTTGTTATTATAATAATTTTACTATACCAAATTAGCTAATTAATATTAATTTATTATTTTATTACTATATTTATATTAGAAGTTAAAACTGATCAAAAATTCTTTAGCTAGCTAATTAATTAGTTAAAATTAACTTAGATTATTCTATAAATATGATTAGAATTAGACTATATTTTGTAATTATAAAAATCTTAATTTGATTAGAAATTAAATTTTAATTAGAATTAAATTTATTTATTTTAATTGGTTAAAAAAAATCTTTAATCAGTTATTATATTAATCATTTTAACCGATTAATTTTAATTTCTAAATTATAAAATTATATAAAAATTAAAAAAATTTATTATTTTTTATCAAATTTTAATTCAAGTTCTTTAACTTTTAATTTGTAATAAAATTTTTTTTTTCATTCTTTTCATTTTTAATTTAAATTTAAACTCTTACTTTTTTTAAATTTTTTTTTATCTTGACTTAATCTTTCACATTCTATATTTAATTTAGTTTCACTTTCTTTTTTATTCTCATAAAAATCTTTGATTTTTAATTTCTAAACATTCTTAAACTATTTCTATTGCTAATTTTTTAATTTTCTTTAAAAATTTTAATTTGTTAAAAAATAATTATTTAATTTTAAAATTTTTTTTTTAATTTTTAAAATTATATAACCTTATCATTACTTTTAACTTACTATTAATGAATAAATAATTTTAAATTACATAAATAATAAATTTAAAAGATTTAACTTATCATTACTTATTAATACTAGATAATATAATCTGATTTGATATTTTTTATACTTTTAAACAATTCATTTATTTCTTCTATTTTGATCTAATTTTTTCTGTTATTTCTTTATTTTTTTTCTCATATATAATTTTAAGCATTTGTATTTTTAAATTAATTTAAGTATTAATTTTATTATTACTAATTTTATTGCAATTTTTACATAAAACTATAATTTATTTTTTTAATATAAATTAAAATTTTTTGCAAAAAATAAAAGCAAATTTCTTATTTTAGATTTTGACTAATATTTTGAATTCAGAATAGCTTTATCATAATCAGATTTACTTTTTGTAATTAAAACTTTATTTTTAGAATATACTTATAAGCATTATTATTTCTATTTTGAGAGTTGATATATAATGAATAAATTTATGAGATATATAAACAATTTATTTTATTTCAATATGTTTTTGATTTTAAAATTTAAAAAAAAGAATTTAATGAGGAGAGAAACTTTATTATTTGAATAATCATCATAATTATTTAAATTTGATAATCATTAATATCATTAATTTATAAATTTTATCTGATATTATTAAACAAAAAAATCCTATTTGTTTATGCATATTTTAAATTTAAATTTATTATTATATTACTATTGAAAAGGCCTTTTATCTTATTTGTCTTATTTTTTTAGAATGTAAAAATAAATATAATCAAATATGTATTTATCAAATAAAAGAATTACAATATAAAAAAAAAAGATTAATATGATTTTGTAATAAATCTTTTAGTTTATAATGATAAGATAAAAAATTATGTTAAATAAAAAGTTAGTTTACAAAGTTCATATTAATATCTCTTTACATATTAATCTTTTATTATTTTTAAATAATATATAAATAGATATTATAAAGGATTTTTAGTCTAATTTTGAGTAAAAATTACAATTTAATCAAATCAATAGAAATTGAAATTCTTTCTAAGATCAAGATTAATTGATGGGATCTACTAAAATTGTAATTCAATCAACCATTTGATGAGATGATAGATAATTTTTTCAAGGATCAACATTTTATTGCAACATATTGAATTAAATCTTACTTAAAATAGTCAAGATTTAATAGCCTCTAAGTATAGATATTTTTCTCCTTTCAAAAAAATCTTATGTTTGAACAAATAATATTTTATTTATAAAAATTTATACAAAATTCAGTAAAAAATACAGTATATCATTTCATATTTCTTACACCATTTAAATTTAGTTTAAAAATTAGAATATTAGAATTAAAAAAAATTTTAAAAGTTTCTGTAGATCATCATCATATACGTATAGATAAGTAACTTACTTTATATAGAAATGATCTTCATAAACATCAGCTACTTTTATGTATTACGTATCAAAGTTTAATATCTTTTTATGTTATTTAGAAACGCAAGCAAGGAAGTGGTATATATTTTGTTTTTTTGTTATTTTTATTAATAATGTATATACTTTTTTTTTGTTTTTATCAAATAGCAGACAGACGAGACGGATGAGACGGACGGGAAGGAGTAGTAGCTGGAGTATAGCTGGGAGTGGGTTTTTTTACTAGCTGATACAAGCTGACTGGCAGTGCGCTATGTTTCGCTACCAAGCTGAAGGTATGGAGGCTTTGACAGTAAACCTTGGTAAGGGATCTGCTTCTTCTTGATTAGGAATTAGCTATTGCTTCCTTACGGACCAATCCAATTGGTCCTTACGGACCAATAAAATTAGTCACAAGACCTGTCATACCTCTTGCACAATCTTCTAATATTTCAATAATCTTAAAGTTTCAGGCCAAAACTTTATATTGCGTCTAATCGGAAGAAATTTTTTTCTTTTGATTTGGATTAGGCCTTCAAATAGTTTGGAGTTAATCTTTACCTTCGCTATGTGTGTGATTTGATTTTGAAATTTTCAAAATCTATCATACAGGCGTGATAGATTTTCTAAATCTTCACATTCTCTGGCTGCACTACTCTTACCGACCAATAATTGGCCTGGATTTTCGGTATAACAAGCTTTGGTAAGTCGATTTATTTATTGCTTTCTGATCTTTGGTCTTGTCATATGAGTTGTTCCATTGTCCTCATATAATTACGGTAATAGCAATTATTGTTTAAATGTAAAAGATAAAATATATTAAATAATGTTCCCATGAATTTTTTAAAATAATTATTATAATTTAAATAAAGTTTCTATTGCCGCGGTAAACTTTAATTTCTTTGATTTTAGTTTTCATTGCACAATTTGTTTGTTATTGAGTATTTTGTATTTGAATATAAGTTGGATATGATTCAGAAGTATTTCATTTCCACAAAGGTTTTAGTTGAAAACCTCGAAGATTGAACAAAGTTTTGCAACTGAAATTGTCATGATCAATATGAATGCGACTTAATTATAAATCTTTATACGATTTCAAACTTTGCGATGGAATGAATAATCCACATCGCATTAAAAATTTACCGCTAAAGATGTCAAAAGTTGATCTTAAATAAGTTTTTTTTTTTTTTAATTATATATTTATTGTAATATTATAAATCTAAATTATTTATAACATTAAAAATTTATATAATATTTTTTTTTTCAAATGAATTAAAATTTAATAAAATAAACTTGTAATATAAAAAAAATTATTTTTCGAAATTATAAAGAGAACTAATGAATAAAATTATCTTTATAATATTTTACTATTTATTATAATTAAGTTCTAAAAAGACTTGAGCAATAAATATATATATGACAGAAATATCCTTTAAACACGTGGATAATACATTTATGCCAACATCATTGTTTAAATCGGTCTGTCTTTAAACCTTTTTTTGTTGGAGTATCTTGACTTTCGGGAATTCATAATCGTCATTAAGTTTCTTTCTTTTTCTTAATCGTGCCTTTAGAATCTCGTTATTGATATTATAATCATTAAGTTTTTTTAGGCATCGAATAATATGAAACTGGAAAAAAAAAAAAAAAATAGTAAAGTATAGAATATTACTACGATTAGGATATAGAATAAAGAAAAGTCATTATTCGGCACTCAAAAGCACAAACACGTACAATATGGTAAAGAATTGCAGGAAACTATGTAATAACTGTTTTGGTTTGTGCAACTTTATAAATAATCTCGTAATAAATTTTTTGGTAATCAAATTAAACATACCTTTGCTACAAGAACTTCATGAATTATAGTAATTAATTCATCAACATTAACAAGTGTCTTTGGAAATTCACATAATGGTTTCCGTTGAATTCGGCAAACATACCAAGATGGAATGTCCATTACGAGTAACTGGAGATATTGTGCTTGATAATATAATGATATTAAATAGTATATACAAAAGATATATAGTTCAAGGTACAATATAAAAGTTATCTTACCTGAATGTAGAAATCCAATTATCTCAAGTTGGTGAGTTTTGACGAAGCTTAATCCATGCTTATTTATTTTTTGATGTAACATATCCTTCATTATCTTAGGCATTTTGAGTCCTCCATCTGATAAATATTTGGTTCCATTTTCTCCATTCCAGATTCTACCCTCCTCACTGATAGCATACTCATCTAAAGACCCTACCTTCCTTGCGATACCATCACATTTGCGGCCAAACATTGCCTTTTCCTTTGGGCTTGCCCTCCCAGTGTTTTTTCGTTGTGCAGAAGCACGAGAGCATCCTTCTCCACTAAATAATAAAATTTTATATAAGCTGAGCTTTAGAAAACAAGTGTTCAACATAACGTGATTACTTTTTTTTTAAAATACCAGATGCTTTACCGAATAAATTCTATGCTCTGCAGATCAATGAAACAAGCATCTACTATAATGCTCCAGACATTGCTTGTGAACCATCCTTCCAGATGGGAATTTGTAAAGTCATCTGGTCTTAGTTCATATCTCGGAAGGCTAAAAGCAGTAAGAAAATCATGAGATAAAAAAGAAATGTGTTTACACTTAAAGAATAATATCTTTACTTACAGTTGTGAAAACACCTGATGAACATATTGATAATGGAAATGCTTTACGGGATCATATGGAGAAATATGAAGGCCATCATTGACAAGTTTTCTTAATTCCTGAGACTTGTCCTGAAGAACAAATAAATAATATAAATTGTGACACCTTTTATTGAACTTAAAGATAAAGATACTAACTTTTCTATATCTTAGTAGGTGTTCCATTAGTTCATCATCTATACTTGGTTCAGGAAGGATGTTATTTGTCATCACAAAATCACGATCATTATAGTCAAAGAGATTCATTACATCTTCATTACTAATATCGATAATAAAGCTATGCAGTGAACTGGTAAATGTAGTTGCATATTCAGATTACAATTGAACCATTCTTTAATGCATTTTAGGTTATGGATACCGACCTCTCATACGAAAGGTTCCTTGCATATTCGTAAATAATATCTTCAACGTATTTCCCAGAAGGCAACTTCCATTTTCCATCTTGTTTCATATTTAGAAACCTTTCTTCAAATTGTAATCTAAACTTATCCATAATTTCATGTTGTTCATGTGACCCAGTGCCTGGCGTCGCGTCTGTGCCCTTGTCAAAGTTCATTTCCTGATTTTGTAAATCATATATTTGCTTATGATATTCTTTAACATGCTGTTGGTTTGGTTATTATTCTTTATTTAGAAGAGCTATCAAACATAATTGTCGACAAGACTTATGACTTACCTGTCCTTCTGGTTTACTTTGAGTGGCTGGAATGACATTGTGTGGAACTTGGTTGATTTCATTTGATAAGGGACCATGTGCAACGATGGACCGAGCTCCATGTGAACGTTCAACGTATTCTTCGGAAGAGGCGATTAGAGCCTTCAATTGTAATTTTTTGATGGCGATTTTTTGTTCGTTCTCAATATTTTCCTGAAACGTCTTAATGCGTCAGTTCTATTGCTGAAAATATAAAATTATGTTTGGAAACTTACCATAATTCGAGAAAGGTACCGCGATTTCTTCTTCAAAATCTTTTTAATCTTCCTAGAAGCGTTATTATTCATTTATTAAAGGGAAAGCATAATAAGTATAATTGATTATGCTTATACAAGTCAGAAACCACGTTCATCAAAGGATGACGTCACGCGTCATTTTTCTATTTTTGTATCACCAAATTAAGCTAAAAGGCGATTTTACTAAAAAAAAAAACATTGGCGTCTCAACGCATACATGAACGAAAGTGTGATATAAGACATCAAGTCGAAAAGTGCATCAACAAGATTATGGTTATCCTAATACGAGAGATTGTATGGGTGCTGTCCTTCTAGTAGGGCAAGTACATTTTGATGTCAGAAAGTGTCATAAATGGAACGCCGGATGAGATATCTTCTTTATCCTAATAAGTTGGACGCACAGTCTTGTGGACATGGAATTTGTGACTGATGCAGGTTTATGTTTGTGTGTAAAATTTGTTGTGTAAGATGGATTTAAACGGTTAACCAACCGTGTTCTTTTGTTTTAGTACGAGGACTTAAAAGCCGTTACGTCTTAAAGACACCATACCTTCTCGAGAGTAGGGCTAGTACATCTGAATCCAAGTTGATGAAGAAATGGAATGCCGGATGCCATAGTTTTGAATGCATTAATTGACGTGAAGCTTGAGCAAGACCCCTTGTGGATGAATCTTGAATTATTACTTATTTATGAAGAAGCCGTCTAAGTTATGACAAGTTTAATATCTAATTTGTTTCTAATAATTACAAAGAAATTTAAAAAAATTTACACAACTAGCTTTATATATATTTCATCCGCCTTTATTTGATTCATCGAAGTGGCCGGTGCGTTACAATCAAGCATATATTAGATTTTTGTTAGTGGATTAGCAGTTTAGAATTTTCGTTTGATTCGTAATGACTAATTAACAAATATTGCCTTATTTTATTTGTAATAGTCAGAAACTCTCGATATAAAGATCAGAAAAATGTCCTTTTTTTATCAACAATACACGTAAAAATTTATTAAAAATATGCGGGAGATTTTAAGAATCTATGCTTTATTGCTAATCTGAAATATATGCTTTATTTTATCAAAAATAAATTGAAAAAAGTCAATCCTATTATTGATGCATTTGGAAATATTATCTAAGGCCGTCTTGTTTAAATTCGATGTATATAGTATTTTGCTTACTTGACTAACCGGTTTCAGAATGTAAAGCAGAATATAGCAATTCCTGACAGATATTTCATATTCTAGATTAATAAACATAATTACACTTTTCCTTATTTGCTTCAAACTTTTTAATTAGTTGATTTTTTTATTAATTAGAGTTAAATTATATATTATATATAGTTTATTAGTGATTATAAACCTTTACCTAATTTTTGTAAATAGAAGAGAAAATTTTTTTAATTATATATACAGTATATTTTTTTATTCATTTTATTATTAAAGATTTATTTTTATTAGTTATATTAATTAATTCAAAGATTTATAATAAAAACCTGATATTTTAGCTAAATTATAATTAATTTAATGATTATTAATAGCATTTTATATTTAAATATATTTTTCATAAATTAAATATTACTTTTTAATTATTTTTGTTTTACAATTTTTATTTAACCAATTTATTTTCATTTTTATAATTTATTTTATTTGAAATTTTTCTAATAAAAATAATTTATCTAATATAAATATTTTTATAATAAAAAATCTTTTATGATAAAGTCTAACTAATAAATTATTAATTATAATATGTAATATTAATCAATTAGAACAAATATTTTTTTTTATATAGAATATCATATGATTTTATTGGTTTAATTAATACAAAAAAATTTTCAATTTTATATTAAATTTTATTAATTTTTTTTTTTTTTATAATAATATTTAACTAAAAAAATAAATAAATATAAAAAATTTTATTATATGGGGGCTAAGCTATTAAAATCACCTTACGGGACCCACCAACTAAAATTGAGATTTTTGATTCATATTATT